TGCTGCAGCCTTTCATTGCTAAAAGGGGCTTACCTGATGAGCTTTCACTGTGTAAAACTTGTACACCGAGAAAGAAGGATTTATTTGTGGGCTTTTGGTCCCATTTGAGGGTTGGTTTTCTGGGTACTCTGCTCTAGAACTGCATTGTCCTAGACCTGAAGTGGTTCAGTGTCTGCATTGCTCTGCAGGGGGCAGGCAGTAACCCCTACTCTGTGCCTTGTCTGGGGGAGACCAGAGGATCTAACCCAGCAGGACAGCATGGTGGGGAGCCTTGAGAAGCAAGAAATAAGGATATCAACATGTAATTGACTGTGATTAACTGATAAACCTGGGTTTCAGTTACCCTGTTGACTACATACTGATACAGAGGCAGTGGGAGCTGGTGTGCATGTACTGGATCCTGTGGAGCCACTTTCCTCCCTCCTCTGTACTTCAGCTGCCTCAGACGTGCAGTGTTGGGTTGCGGGGGGAGGGTGGAGAGAAGGGGACAGGTGGGACACAGTATAAGCAAGAATGTTAAATTTGATGGAAATTCCATTGACTACTTGATTAGTCGATAAGGAGGGTGCTCGCGATTCCACTGCACCTCTTCCTTTGAATTGTACAGGAGCCACTTGCAGCTCTTGTATATTTCAAAGGGGGAGAGACAGCAGGAACCTGTGCCAATGGGGATCAAAACAGTTCTCAGTGGCATGGGTTCCTCTTTGTGCCTCTTCTCTTGAAATGTGTAAGAGCTGCAGGCAGCTCCCATACATTCCAAAGGGAGAGAAGCAGCAGTGGGACTGGCGCGAGGGACTGTTTCAATCCCTGCTCGCACCCTTTTCTTATGCCTCTGTGGAGATGGTGCTGGTGCCTCTTTCTGATAGAGGCAGCAAGGAGAGGGGGAAGCGAATAGTTGAGTAGGAACTTAACTACCTAATAAGCATTTGCTTTTAGAGTAGTGGACTAGTTGCTTACATCTCTAATCCCCACGCATATCTGCTCATGTGGAGCTGCCTGCTGCTCATGCGGAGCTGCCTGCCAGTCCTGCACCGCTTCCCACAGAGGCAAATTAATCAATATCTAACATCACTACAATGGGGGGTTGTCAGAGGCATGATCAACATACTGGGGAAAAATCTCAAAGGGATCTCTGTCTGCACCCCACTACAACTTTTTCACTTGAGTTATTAAAACATAGCTTTATGAATAATATATTGGTGCTAAACATAGTTACACAAGCCAGCCAGTACACACCAGCTACTCAGACATAAAGGGCGCAGTGGGTCCAACACATCATTGGAGTTCTTTTTGCTACATATGACAGTGGTACAGGATCCATGCTTCCTGTGTGTGCTGTGCAGTCTCTTAGCATTTTTGTATTTATGCTTACTGGCACACACAAAAGAAATAAATGATGGGATATCTTTGGTACTAGAACTCTAGTTGCTATGTCAAAACAAAGTCTGATTTAAAACAACAGTTTTGCTATCCTGATCAATAATGGGTACCTTAGAGTCCTCTCTTGCTTTAGTGAGGGATACATTCCTGACACATGCTTGATCTGTTCTTGCTTTTTCCAAGAGGATGCAGAAAGAGAGAGAGAGAGAGTGGCCTGCCTTCTATTTTTTTTCTTCAGAAGAGCTTGATGAGAGCCGCCTTAGAGCGTCTATGGTAGTGGTGTAGAGGAAGGTGGGGAATTCCCACTAAGCCTGAAAAGTTCTTCGGCTAATGTTTCTGTGGACTTTAAGAGATTAGGCTCACGTATCATTGAAGAGATTGAATCCTTCAGATACTGAGACGCTGGAAGAGGTCTGGCTGTTCACACACAGTTCTCAGAAAGGGGGAGGAAGGAACATGTTTCCCATAGTGAGTGCAGACATAAGAGACCCTGATGAGCTGTATGCAACCTGCAAGCTGCCCATCACTGATTTAGTCACAACCAGAGAGGGTATGCCACTGGTGGCCTTCCAAGCAGGTTACCACCTTGTGTCCACGGGTATAGCTTCTTGCAGCTCCCATTGGCTGTGGTTTGCCATTCCCAGTCAGGGAGAGCTGCAGGAAGTGGCAGCTAACTGCACTGCTTGCTGCAGCTACCATTGGCTGTGAGCAGTGCTGTACCCTCCCACACTGTTGCCTATAATAGAGGCAGCAGTGGAGGACTGGTGGGCTGCATGTGACCATGCGTGTTAACTGATGTGTCTAGGCTCATCTGTTAACTGTGTAAATAGTTATTTTCACATCACTACTGGGAATAAATAACAGTGCAAATGTTTCTGGGAGAGGCATTTTTGGTATCTGTGGTTTTCTATGTATTGTTGATTTCATGATGACCACACAACTGGATGGACTTTGCCCTTGGTACCATTCACTAATACGATCATAAACTGATGAGCTGTCCTGCTCAGGTTATGAGACAATTTAAGAGAACCGTACAGCATGCTAGATGGGGTTGACCCCACCCCTTCTGGTGCACATTTTGAATGATCAAGTACTTTTGTCAAAATATAACTATCCAGAGGACAGCGTGTCACAATTCATAGAGAAGAAATCACAAAATGAAAGGGAAGAATTAAGGTCCCTAGCTTCTGAAGGATTGTTAGTGTTTCAAATGTCATTCAGGCTGCTCTAGACACCTTTGCTATGGCAAATATGCAGTGGCCACGTACATTGTGATTTGAGCTTCATGGCACCCATTTACAAGAATACTAAAGGGCATCCAAATTGTACTTGAGAACCTCCTGTTTGAAGATTCTGATGTAGTTAATATTGGAACTGATGGAGTGCCACTCATTACATGTATGCAAACCAGTCACATGGAGGAGGTAAGACCAGATCCACAAAACTCTGCCAGATAGAGCCACTTTGCCTCTTGTTCCAATTATGTCTTAGGTGGTGGTAACTGAAAATGAAGCAGAGGTGCAAAAGCATCAGACATTCTGATTCTCTTCTTCTGCACATTTCACTTACCTTATGACACTAAGCTAGATGCCATTGTTGAGAGCCAATCAGAACTGTTACTGGATTTGGACACGTTTCCACTGCCCTTTTGGAAAGCACCTCTGATGTTCAGGAGGACTGAAATCAGCTGACTTCTGAGCAGCAGGTCCTGGAAATCACAAACCAAAGGATATTTGGTGCGTTTCCTACCTACACTGTTTCCCATCTCTCTTTAGGAGCTTTTGTTGAAATTATAGATAAAGTAACATCTGCAACCCAGAGCAGTGGAGGTCATCTAGTCCAGCCTGAAGCAGTACCAAAGCCAACAAAATCATTCCAGCCAGGGCTTTGCAAACTGGGACTTGAAAACCTCTGGGGATAGAGATTCCACCACCTCCCTAAGTAACCCATTGCAGTATTTCACCACCCTCCTTGTGAAATATTAGGAAAACTATCCAATCTAGACATCCCCCGCTGTAGTTTGAGACCTTTGCTCCTTGTTCTGCCATCCATCACTACTGAAAACAGCCTCTCTCCTTCTTTGGAACCTTCCTTCAGAAAGTTGAAGGCTGCTATCAGATCCCTCCTCACTCTTTTCTTCTGCAGACTAAATAAGCCCCAAATCCCTCAGCCTTTCTTGTAGGTCATGTTCTTCAGCCCCCTAATCATTTTGATAGCCCTCCGCTGGACCCTTTCCAATGTGTTCACATCCTCTTTATAGTGGGGGACCCAGAACTGAATGCAATACTCCAGATATGGCCTCACCGGAGCTGAATAAAGGGGAATAATCACTTCTCTAGATCTGCTGGCAATGCTCCTCCTAATGCACCCTAATATGCCATTAGTCTTCTTGGCTACAAGGGCACACTGTTGACTCACATCCATCTTCTCATCCACTGTAATCCCCAGGACCTTTTCTG